GTATACATATTTATCTTTTGTGTTTTTTATTTATTGTATACGTTGATTAAAAAAATTAAAATAAAAAATATTGAAAGATTTATGTTCTATTTAGAATTTTTAATATAAAATATATTTTAAAATAAGTTATCATCTAAAAATTTATATTAGATATTAAAAATATGTTTATATCATAAATAAATTAAACTTGATTTTTATAAAGTTTAACATATTTATTTTTATGTTTTTATTAATGTTAAGTTATTATAAAGTAGGTCTTTGGGATTGTATTTCTAACCAAACATTTAAAAAATGTCTATGATAGATAAAAAAAGTCATATTTAGGATAGTAATTTTTTTAAAAAAATTAGGTTCAAACCTACTAAATTATAATATAATCTAGTTTGATCTAATTTATTTTTATTATTTAATTATAATCATAGATATAAAAGCTTGTAAAAATAATTATGATATATTTATATTTTTAAAAGTTATATGTAAAAATTTTAATATTATAAATATATAAATATAAAGTTTCTGGATCCGTCACTGTCGTAGGAATACTTTCGCAATACACCTATCAATCACGAGCCAAGAACTCTCTAGTATTGACAATAATATCTACATGCTTATGTCGTGAACAATCATACTATGGGTACTCACAAATGGTAGAGATGATAGTTACACAATCCAACTCACCAAGAAAAAATTTAAACCCTTTTTCCCAACATAAATACAATCCTACCTCCAAAGAAAAAAGTTTTGCATGTGAGGGGTCTCCTTCCAACGAGTTCTCAAATCTCCCTTTCCATCTACCAATAACATCTCTAACCACTCCACCAATTCTCATCATTCGAGAATTCTCTAGCCAACTTCCATCAATATTCAACTTGACAAAGGGATAATCTGGTGGACTCCATTTGTCATGTTACCACCAAAGAGACTTAAACCTCAAATAGAGTGCATTATATGATATATCTAATGTTATCTGTCTCACAACATAGTTCACAATCCATGACTGATCTATCTCCAAGACCATATGATTTCAAAAATGTCAAATCCACCATGTCCCAACTGCTAACCTCATTGCATCTGGATGTTAACCAAGTTCTTAAGCCACAATAGACAACTTGTAATAAAGATAATAGAGGAGGAATATTTCTTATCCACATTCAAATTTCTCTTAAATGAAGATAGTCATGCACAACATATAATATAGATTCCATTTCGTGTGAACATCTCATGCAAGCTCCACTTGAAGCTAAATTACTCCGCAGTCTAACCTCATTAATTGGAAGGGCATTATGCAAACCCTGTCAAAGAAAGATCTTCATCTTCTCTAGTAAGACAACTTCCAAAGACGTTTCCAGTCTGAAGTTTTTGCACCATGTCCCTATGTGCATAATGATTGGAATCTCATTGTTGCGGTATAGCTAGGTGATGGGTCACCCATCCAATTAAATGTGTCAATTCCTGTTGGATTCATAGGTATATGCAACTATAAAATGCAATCAGTCACTTCCTAAGGGAGTAATGTGTACAAGTTGTTCAAGTTCCAAGAACCCTCACATTAGAATTTTGCAACTTTAATCTCAGAATAATTAATGTGTACATAAGGAACCAATATCTCAACCAATCTTCATACCAAAAAGAGAAACTTCCTAAACCAAGACAAGAAGCAAAGTCATCCTTAAGAAATGTAATGTTTTAAGAATGTTTGTCCAGACATAGGATTGTTCGTGTTCTACCCTAGCCAACTCCGAGTGACCTCTCAAATATTTATCCCATAGGACCTGCACCCAAGGCTTATGTGGTGGACCCAACAGCTCCCAGATCAATTTACCAAGAAGGGTTATGTTCACCAGTCATGGTTCTCGTATGTTTAATCTACCATGCTCAAGCAATTGAGTGATCGTAAACCATCCCACCAAAGATCAAAATCGAGAGTTGTAATCTTTCATCCATAATATTGACTGGCACACTTTTTTAATAATGTTACAGATACCTTATAGGAACCACTAACATTGCATACCATAAATAGGAATCAAGTTTGATGTGGACTTGATGAGGCATAACTTTCCAACTTTGTTCAATAACCTTCCTTTCTAGTTGGCTAATCTCTCATTCACACAATCAATGACATGCTGAAAATCCTGCAACGTAATCCTTTCCTGAATCATTAGCATACCCAAATAGATTTTTTTATGAAAATAATTAATCAAAACAAAATCAATGATATTTCGTACTAATAATATGGTTAAAAAAATAAATTTTATATAACTTTTGAGTTAAAAATTTACATTAAATTTTGTCCTAAACTTTTGAAATAAATTAAAATTTTTCAAACATAAATCACTTCATTTAAAATTTAATTTAAAAAAAAAACTAATTTCACAAAATTAAGACAAACCAAATTAGAATCAAATTTACAAATATTTATCCAGACATACCAACAATATTTTACATTAACCATGTTCATGTGTTTCACAAGATCATATTTACACGTTATTATTTAAAAATACTCGTTCATATGTGTATATAATAATGTTGATTAAAAAACACGAAAGAGATAAGAATCTTTAGGTGGAATGTGGTGGCGCAGAATCGTTCATACAGGAAACCAATTTGAAATTTTGAATGAAGGTAACCACGAGAGATATACAGAATTTCTTCACATGGACCTTTAACGTATTTCATAAATTATTGGCCATTGCTAATTTATATAACTGTGTGATGTGAAAGGGACTAAGGTTTAGGTTGAACTTTTCTCACAAAAAAACTACAATATAGCCTTTTGACTAATCTTACATGACTGCATCACTGTCACGTCACCACAGCCATCGTCCAGAAAGAAACAAGAGAGTGTATGAAACATGAATGTCATAAATTATGTAGAGGGGGCGTCATGAAAGAGCGTAACCAAAAAAATAATAAAATAAAATAAATAAAATAATAATAATAGGGTGTGATCAATGAGTCTATTAACTTAAAATTACTGAGGATGTCATGTGATGAAAAGAGTTTGCCAATTGCCAACTTTAAAAACGAATTAATTGCAAACTCATTTTCAAAATTTTCTTTATATTTTTGTGTCTCCTAATTTTAAATGAAAACCCTTTTTTTCTAAAAGGTGTATTGATAACCTAATTGATTATGTTTTCATACAACATGTTACCTTTTTAACAGAAAATAAAACTAGGTTGATGGTCCCCTCAACCCGTGCACCAAGTTTATGCGTTGCATTGTTGGAATGCATGGAGCATAGTGGGCTACCTTTCCTATTGATCAATTCCTTTGTTTGAGTGCAAGAATTACATAATCCACATCACAGTGCATGACCTCAGATAAATTCACCACAAAATCAACGATGATTTTTTGACATCTTAATTCTAATATTTTTCATATAGTTTTCATTATTTTTTATTTTACTTTTCATATGTCATTTGTTATATACTATCAAGTAGATGGATCAACTGACACCTACTTCTTTCAACTTAATTAGTAATTTTAAAGTCGAATCTTGAATAAGATGATACTGTGTGCACAAAGTTTTTTCCTTTTTTGTCACTTGCCATATTTTATGACTTCTCTTTTTATGTCTTGGCTCACTCTTTC